TGGGATCTTCTGATGGGTGATTATGTTAAAGGGTGGAGCTTCCATGGAGCCCTTTGATAAGGGATAAGTTATGAAAGAAGGCCAAGGGAGTTTGCTCACCCCTTCCCCCATATACAGCAAGAAGGCACCATCTATGGGAAGTGAGCCCTTACAAGACACTGAATCTTCTACAGTCTTGATCTTGGACTTCCCAGCCTCTAGAACTGTGAGCAATAAATTTCAGTTGCTGAGAAACTACTCAGTCTACGACTTTTTTTTATAACCGCCGAAATGGGTTAAGACATTGTGCAACACAGTTTATGGACAATGCTTGGTGCACTATGTAGTAAGTTTGCGTTCACCCTCCACCCTCACACCACCCTACAGTCAAAGAAAAGACTCACTAGATTAGAGATTAGAGCCACAATTTCATAACATATTTTCATAATCTCTACCCATGAAGCCATAATCTTTCAATTTATCTCTAATCTATCTCTAATTTTTCAATCTATCTCTAATAGGTTAGAGATAAGTTTACTCCCTCACATGGCTGTTTTCCACATAGGAATTGTTATAATCAAACACACAGGACATAAAAGAATTATTTAAGCAAGTATTCGAGTAATTAAAATATTCTCAATTTTATTTTTTTAGTTGAACAGTTTCTAATGCTCATGTGAATCCCTCATTTCTTTTAGGTGCTGCAGAAAAAAACTAATGTTTAATGTCATAACTAGAGTACGTGTTTGGTGACATGTTCACGTGTCACCAAGTAGCTTTTTGGAATCTGCTTACCAATATCTGTTTCCAATATGATTTGTTATGGAACTGATGACAATTTTGTATTTCGCCAGAAATGGGCACTTGTCTTGATTCTACTTTTAGTTGAAAACAAACCACTGATGGCCAAAAAGAAAAAAAAAAAAAAAAAAGCCTCTGGTGACTCTCAGAAGTAAAATGTATTGAATAATTTATGGCTTTAGTTAAGTCCCTACCATTTATTTTTCATTACAAAATGACCACATATAATTTGACATGTTTGTGCAACATAATTAATAGGACCTGCTCTAGAAAATTCGGCAAAGGAGAGTGTACATGGATCTCAATATTAGCCATGCAGCACATAAACTCAAAACACTGAATGTCTCCATAGAAAAAGCAGATGAAGACTGACATCATATTGGAAGCATAATTTCACTCTGGAGTTTTACAGTGAGTCACCAAAATCTCATCAGAGGAATGACTATGCTTTGAAATCACTGGTAGAGATGCTTTAATCATTGAATAAGCTGTTACCTTAAGGAAACAACATATAGCAGATATACTTTGAACATCTTCTTTGAGTAAAGCACTGAGAGCAATCTCTAGAAAAGAGGATAATAAAAGTGTTCAAAGCCAGTTCGAGAAACAGGCTCTTACCATTCAATCAATTGGTAATCTCTGTACCCACTAGCTTTACTACCGCACTTTTCATTTGCTCTCCAGCTTTGGCTCCTATGTGATAGTGGACTCCACTACTTGCCAGTCTTCATATAAATTCTGCCCTTTCCCCAGAACTTTAGTTTTCATCTGGCTTACCACCCAGGAAAAAGTTGCATTCCCAAGAATGTTTGGGGACAGGAACCATTAGAGAGCCCTTACAATTTTACATACATTTTCTTTCTCAAGAGTGGCTGGCCGATTTGGGTAGATACACTAGTAGAGAATTGTAGCTTATATAAGGTAAAACGGGTGATGGACCTAGTTATCTGATATACAGAACACCTCTAAAATGACACTCTTACCTAAAATTCACTTTGTGTCTTCCATTTTGTCACAGTACCTGTCAATGTTACAGGTATTGATCCATTCCACTGAATATGTTAATAAAAAATATGTACTTCTCTAAATTCAAATAAATGGGTTTATTATTTTTAACTTTTATCAGAATAATGTACAACCTCCTATTAACAGAATAAAATAAGGGAAAATTAGAGATATTTTGAGCACTAACACCATAGAGCTGATTAAGAACATAAAGATCAAAATATTCTTTAATTCTCATCCTGACTTGGAAATATAAGGTCTCAGGTTGGTCACACACTAAGGAAAAGCAAATCTAAAATTAAAATCAAATTATATTTCTTTCCAAACATGAAAATAGCTTTCTATACATATGCTTTGGGAAATAAAGGTACTAATAGCAGTCATACAGAAGGATCAATAGAGTTCTCAAAGGAATAATATTTCAGCCTGAGAATCCAGAGTCCAAGGAAGGAATAGCTACTGAGGAATCTACTTTCACTGCAATCTTTTAGGAGCGTAAGTTTTCTGTCAGGGTAGAAGGAAAAAAGCCTTTCCTATTTTTGAGGTTGGATTTCTTTTATCACTTATCTATTTCCAAAAGGAAATAGCAAAGGTGTGCTATGCTGATAATATTAGGGGTTTATGATTATATTCTTGAGTTTAATAAGATTATGTTTATTGAACCACTACTATGAGAATAAGACTTACACTTGAAACAAATATGATTAGCAAAAGATGATTCATAATTATCAGCCAAATGGGCTGCTTTCAGGTACTTATAGGATTGGCTCTAACCAGGCTTCTGTCTGTGGATGTTTTAGACTTGGTTAATTCAGAGTATATATTTTTTCCTTCATCTAATTCATCTCTTTCATGATCTTCTAAAGCTTTAGCAGGCATCTCTAACCCTTTGTGGTTTTCACTAAAATAAACTTCACTCAGTATTATCAACATTCATATTTTTATTCTGGAAAAATTTTTTAAATATTATCTAAAAATCACAGAATTCAGACTGAGAAGAAGCCTTAGAGCACATTTGTGTTTCTGAATTAAAAATCTGTAAAAATAATTACCATGAATTCCTTTGGACATCTGAATAAAACTATGAGTGCTCTTGTTCTGAAAGATACATGTATTCTTGTATGTATGTGTAACATACATACACATATCTATTTGATACAAATACTTTGTTCACAAATTCCCCGAAGCCCATCTATGAATCCCCTGGGTTGCCAGACTCTGAGAGAACAATATTAGTTCTAGGGACTTTACAGCCTCTCTGTCTTTTACCACTGTCTTTATGTTTGGATAGTGTGTCTGAAACAACCAGTTCTCCTTTATTTCTGCAAATTCAAATCTAAAATCCAAAGAACTCTGAAGTTCTTAGAAATTAAACTTGATTTTCCCTGTTGTCAGAAAACCTAGTTTTCCTTTGTTGACATTGTTGCTGTAGTGTTGTGGGGATATATTTTTTTTAAATTTTTAGATTTTCTTTTAGTTTTTGCAGCTATGGTATAGTAATTGCTGTAATTGGTAATTTGTTTTGAATAAACTTATTTTTGGAGAAAAAAGCATCGAGTATATTAAATTAGAAAAAGACCAAATTCTAAAATGAGAATCAATTTCAAACTTCTGGAATTTGGTAATTGAGGGAAGTAATATGTTACAAAGGAATGATCATAGAAAACAGAATCAGAAAATCAAATTTTTATTCTTAATTATATTCCCACCCACTGCCAAGTCTGTCTAGGAAACTGAAGAATTTGAAACATTTTTTTCATTTTGTTTTCTTTTTTTTTTTTCTTTCTTCCTTTCCATTTTTTTTTTTTTTTTCTTTTTTGGTTCAGATGACAGTAGTAGTCCTTCAATATAATGATTCAGAAGCCTGACATCTCAGGTTGGGCTTTCACTGAGATGGAATTTTAATTAATAAAAAGTAGAATTTTATTATTATGACCTTACTTTGCATGTGCTGCCTCAGTCATGATCTCAGAACATTGATTTCACTAACAAATATTTGGAATATAGAATTATGGAAGGCTTTGTAGCTTTATTTATCCTTAGAAGCAGTGCCCTTTGAATAAAATGTTAGATTTCCTGAAGTACTTGGTAGACACATTTTAAAGGAATGTTCAATTTGTCAAGAGTTTTGTATGTTAGTAAGAAAATAACTGCTAAATAAAATAGATCTGAATTCCAGACACAGTCCTGCCATTTGTAAGCCATGTGACCTTGGACAAATTCTTCCTTTTGTACCCTTAACATGAAGAAAATACTACTACTTTCTAAAATAAGGTTAATGTTAAACAAGTGTTCAGAATGGTCAGTTTAGTATTTAACACATAATAGGCAAAAATTAACACTTCCTCTTCTCCCTGAAGTAGTCATTTATATTCTCTACCTTTAAATTTTGCAATATATGAAATCAATGTCCTAGACTAAACTGTCATCTAAAGAAGCTCAAAATTCTGCAACAAATGGACTCAACAGCTAATTTGAGCTTTTGTACCTGGCTTGCATTGCTCACAGCAGGCTACTTCCTTTAACACACTGATATCACCAGAGACATAGAACAATCAAGTTCCCATGCATTTTATCAGTCTGTAGTGCCAGGAAGAACTGGAGAAACTGATACTAAAAAGGGGACAAGCTTTAGGTCCTTTAAATATCTACATAAAGGAAGAAGCCCTTGCAGAATCAGCATGCAGTAATTTCCATGAATGTTTAACCCTCCATCATTATTTTAACAACATTCCAGTAACAGAGTTTTCTTTGAAACCACACGATGTGAATAGTACTATATAAAGTTAAATCGACATAGCAAGACTTGAATGTTACCATTACTTACTACCAGGACTCAGGCCCCCTTGGTTGTAATGTGTTCCCGGGCTAACTTTTCTTACGTTGAAAATAAGTTTTAAGTTTCAACATTTTTCAACCATGATTCAGGTATCATCCTTACCTTTAGTGATTCTCCTAAGATTCTTTAAAAACCCAATACTAGAAACTAAAGACTATATCATACAGCTCTGCCTAGAGTGTGGTGGAAATTCCCATGGTGTATGTAGTTTTGTGGTCAGAAAACGGGGGCTTTTTTCAGGCCTTAGGATGTCCTTTGCCTGCTGATTATTTTGGGGACTCCATATGATTTATTGCCTTGATAGGACATTTCAAGCACTTACACATAGTTGTTACATAATGATAAAATGAATATAAATATCATTATTGTTGCTTACCTTTCCCTGATTTTGAAGTGAGAAGGATGATGATGAAATATCAGGCAGTGTAAAAACAGCAGCTCTGTGTGGCAACATCCTAAACTTCATTGGAAGAGAACACATCTGGCGCCCAAAACCAGCTTGCCATTGGCAGCATTAACCTAGATGTAAGGCGAAATATGAAAGATAAGCAAATATTTACCACTCAGGTCAGCTCTAAGAGAAACTTGACATCCTAGATGAAGTAGAGGCAGAGGATGAGGGAGAGAAACCAACCATAGAAATTTAGTATTTGGCCTTGGAAGAGCCACCCTTTCGAAATTCAAATTAATATTTATTAATTTATTTCTAATCTATAAGTAAATCTGACAGATGACCCACCAGTTCTGTTTCTGTTCTCTCATTTGACTGAACTTCCCTTTAAGGCTCCATGCACTATGCTGCCAATTTAGAAATTATTCATTTCTGTTATCTAAAAATTATCTTCTCTTATATTTTGAGGCTGTAAGAAGCAACATGGACAATTCATTACACTAGAAAAGTAAGTAGGTTTGGACTCAGTTGTTCTTCCCCAGTTCTATGATCAGCATGCATATTGTCTGCCCTAGTGGGCTCTGGTTTTCCCACGCAAAGAAGAAAGTCAACCCTTCAAAAGCCAATTCGTCAATGCATCATTTGTTGAAAAACTAACTTAAAACTACCAAAATTCTCTTTAATGACGACTAATATTTTTATAGCTGTATAATCGTATTACTAAAAGGATGCTCTTGAATACATTTAAGTAATATAAACTTCTAAAAAGCATTTTTAAAGGGATGCTTAGTTTGTCAATCCTGAAGATTACTGAATGACAGATTTTCTCCTGAAATATTTTTTTCTTATTAGTAAATCTAAAATTTTATCATTTCTTATTTGGGGATGTCATTTTATATTGATTTCTTTGTAATTATTTAAAAGGCTGTTTCTGATTTTGCCGACATTTTAGCATTTTTATTTTAAGATCTCCGAATTTTGCTGATTAAAAATTTTACCGTGTTCATACTTTTCCGAATAAAAAGTTGTTCATTTTAATTATTTAGACAATGTATAATGATTAATATTAATCTTGATGGTTTCAACTGTATTTAAAGATTTCTGCAAAAGGTCATTTGGCCAGCTTTTCTTCTGCTGTTGTAACAGCTAATTAGAAAACATTCACTAGTTTCTGCCCATCTCCCTGAGGCTGGATATTGAAACCCATGCAGAGCAAGGGGCCCCTCTGCTGGCAGAAAGACAGACCAGAGATTCAATGCAAAACGCTATGTCTGGGCCTGCCAAGAACAGAGAAGCTTTGATGTAGAGAAAGCTAGGGGATGAAGAAAGATTTGAAAGTGCTCATGTTCTCACATCAAAGCTCCACACACTTCACTTTAGCCTTGCCAATCCAACTCACATGACTGGCTGCAGACCTTATAAGTAGATGAAGATACAGATTTGGGTAAACTTGGTAAATTACATGAGCTGGCTATTTGGGTATTGTATTGCATTGGTTAGTTTCCAATGTACCAGTAGAAATGAGAATTAAAGGAGGTAGGATAATGTTCAGAAATGTCAATTTTTGACCTGATTTTTGCCAGTTGAAACTGGAAAAGTGGATTCAAAAGGAAAGTAATATATAACTTTGATTTTGGGAATAGAATATATTCCAGATTGTGGTAGATTATAGGAGTGAGATGGGGTAAGATTTGATAGAGAGGATCCAGTATAAGTATTATTGCAATTGATCATCAGGGACAAACTCACACAGGAGCCTTCATGTTGCCTTGTGCAGACTGATAAGAGATTTATTTAGAAGATCGTCAAAGATGAAAGTTGGTTTGTAACATAGTCTCACATCACAAAGAAAGGAATATAAAAACAGGAACAAATATTATGGGAAATAAATTATTTCTAGTTTGGATTTGTCAATTATGAAGTTATGATACATTTACAAAGTCCATGAACTATCAATTGGTTAGTGACCTAGCGATAGAACTATCTCAAACTTTTCCAACATCCAGCTATAATTATTGAAAATGATTATACTCTGCAGAGACAGGCCTTTAGATAAGCGTTTGTATTATCTATTTACTTGTGTTGCTTATTTTTTATTTTTTTTTTTATTTTTATTTTTTGAGACGGAGTTTCGCTCTTGTTACCCAGGCTGGAGTGCAATGGCGCGATCTCGGCTCACCGCAACCTCCGCCTCCCAGGTTCAGGCAATTCTCCTGCCTCAGCCTCCCGAGTAGCTGGGATTACAGGCACGCGCCACCATGCCCAGCTGATTTTTTGTATTTTTTTAGTAGAGACGGGGTTTCACCATGTTGACCAGGATGGTCTCGATCTCTTGACCTCGTGATCCACCCGCCTTGGCCTCCCAAAGTGCTGGGATTACAGGCGTGAGCCACCGCGCCCGGCCGTGTTGCTTATTTTTATCCTTGCCTCTTATTGACCCTTGGTAAAATGGAAAAGGAAGGCAGTCTCCAGCTGGAAGATTAATCCCCCTAATATTATAATAGAATTTTGGAGAAAGTGGCCTGGTATTCAACGGGTATTCTAATTTTATTCAACAAAGGGGAATAAGATTAGAAAGAAGCTGAATTCAATGGTCTGTGAAGACTGTGGGTTAATAAGATGTCCTTTTTTTTCTTTTTTCTGGCTAAAAGAGAATTTTTACTTCCATAGCAGATCACAAAATATTCCAACAGGTTCCAATAAATAAAACCAGTGAGCTGGGCAAGAAAACTGTGTTCAGTTTCCTCAGTTACCATCAGGTGTGTCAAGCTGGTTCTCTTTCCACCACATTCCAAAAGCCTTTCGTTTCACATTTCTATTAATATATCATCTAAAGCAATCATTTTGCTATTTAAAGTTTACAGTTTTACTATGATCTGAACGTCTCCTAAAATGTGCAAAAACTTAAGACCTATTGTGGTGGTATTAAGAGATGAAACATTTGGGGAAGTGATTAAGTCATCAATTCTGATATGAATTTCATGACGGCAAAGCCCACCATTCATTTCAACTTTTTCTTTCACAGGTGAGAATACTCAGATACCTAGATAGGTTCAGTCACACTATCAGCAGATATCTAAGATAGATCCTTTTGGGCTGTTTCCATGTTTTAAATCATCTTTGCATGTTTCTTCGAGTTCTTTCCACATCCCCTTTGCCCTACTTAAATTGTTATGTCCTGAGTCAGTCATGAATTTCTAACAGAACTAATTGAATGGAATGTTATGGGACTATGGGATTATGCTCCTTTAACATATCTCTCAGTCACTTTTTGTTTTTGCTTTGTAAATGATGCTCTCTTTTAATTTATTACATTTGTAAATCAGGTGTGACCTATCTTTAAACACCTAAATCTCTGCCTGTTATCAAATAATATTCAGGCAGTGCTCAGGCTGGGAAGCTCTGTGTGATGCTCACTCCAGCACAGAAGCTAAACACACCATGTATTATCATTCTAATCAAAATAGTGAAGAAATAATCAATGTTCTTTGCCTGGCTAAATAAAATCTTTCCTTTTAAGTCCAATGAAAGATTATTTTCTTCTTTTCCCAGAATATAAATTTTAGCCCTATGTTATTGAATCTCATCCCAGTAGCTGAGTTTTTACAAGCTTTCTCATAAGTGTTCTATTGTTCACCATTCACTAATATCCAAAACACTCACTCGTTACTCCATCCCAAGGGACTTCTTGGGAAATATCAGACAGCAGCATATGGCAGCCATTGGGACCCAACCCACACTCTACTTTTCCATATTACTGTCTATACATTGTGAGTGCCACAAAGAGAGCAGAGCTCTGCCACATGTTTCTTAATGGATAAAGGTAAAACAGTCACAAAAAGGAAGGATATTGACCACAAAATATACTGTTCTAGACAGGATTGTTTACACTGTTCAAAAACACTGAAGCGAGACAATCTACAACTACTTTCCACCTCCATCTAGCAACTTTACAATGCATGGCTCTCATCTCTCAGCCATGGGATGGGGTTGGTCTCATTTGCAATCAGTTGGATTGTTAGTCCTGGGAATTCCAGACCTTACTTCTACAACACGCAGTTTTGAGCCAAAGGAGGTCCCTATAAGACTGTCCACAAATGACCCAGAGGTATACACATGTTTCCTACCATTTCTCAGCGTGCTGGGGACATGTCTGCTCAGCACATGCGCTGGGCCTGCCTGTCAGAGAAGGGCCCCAGCTGGGCTAGGCCAACCTACCTCTCTGAGGCTTTGGATTTTTAATTTTTTTAGTTTATTTACTTTTATTGATTATAAAGTTGAACTGAAAATTTAAAAAGAAAAGGGCAAAGAAAGTAATTGTAATTACCCAAAACCCAAACTACTCAGAATTAACCATTATATAAATTTTTAATGCATATCACTCCTCTTTCTCTTTTACTGGAAGTGAGAGAGAATATGTATGATATGTAATGAATATCACGTATATATATGTCAGGATGATGGAAAGAGAATTTGGGGTTATGGGTAGAAATTACATATTTTTAAATATTTTCTTTTCCCAAGACATGCAAAATGTATAAAAAGTGATAGTATATTTTACTTATTGATAAAATATACACATCAGGATATTGATCACAGGAGTTTAAAAAGTTCCTTTTTTTTTTTTTTTTTTTTTTTTTTAGACAAAGTCTTACTCTGTTACCCAGGCAAGAGGTGCCAAACTAAAAATTATAACCTTTTAAAATTCTTGACCCAGACTGGTAAAATGCTTTCAACAGTATTGAAAATGTATTTTTAAGTAATTTTTGTTTACAATTTTAAAACCTATAGCAGACAAACACAAATAAAATTCACTAATAAGCATATTATATAGATACCCAATCACTCTCAAGCAAAGAAATTCAAATAAAACCCAATACATATGTCTTAATGTAATAATATATATATTATATATAAGTAGTATATGTGTGTAATATACATAAGATATATGTATCTACTGTATAAGTGTGTGTGTATTGACTATGCTATTTATCAATTTTATTATTTTGGTGTTAAAAAAATGTATGTGCTTTTATCTAGCAAATCCATGCTTTGAAACCTGTTCTGGGGAGTATTTAAAGATGTGGCTTCAGACATATATTTATATATGCATATTCAAGCACATGCA